TGCAATGAACATGAAATTGAGCAAGCTTCAGAGGACAGTGGAAGACAGGAAGGCCTGGCGTTCATGGGATCGTGAAGAGTCGGACTCAACTGTGTGACTGAACAACAAAACCATGTCCCCCTTACTTTTTTTTCTAGGCTAAACAGCCATAAGCATTTTAATCAATCATACAGCAGCTGGTCTAGCCCCCTGATTATTTGCTCTTTTCTACATCTTTTCACACTCTACAATATTCTTTTTTAGGTATGGTGACCAGAACTGTACACAATATTCCAAGTGAGGTCTCACTATAGATTTGTATAAGGGCAATATGATAGTGGCAGTTTTATTCTCTGTTCCTGTTCTAATTATGGCCAGCATGGAATTTACCTTTTTCACAGCAGCAGCACACTGGATCAACATTTTCACTGAGCTACCCACTACCACCCCAAGATCCCTTTCTTAGTCCGTTGCTGCCAGCTTAGATCCAATCAGTGTATATGTGAAGCTGGGATTATTTGCCCCAATATGCATCACTTTACACATGCTCACATTGAATCTCATTTGTCAGTTTAATGCTCATTCCCCTGTTTGAAGAGATCCTTTTAGAGCTCTTTGCAACCCATTTGGTCTTAACCTAAATAATTTGGTGCCATCTGCAAACTTGGCCACTCTAACTCTAGGGTTGCCAAGTCCCACCTTTAGCCACAGTGGGGGACTCCTGGCTTGCTCTGGGGGGGCGCACGCGCAAAGCGTGCGCGCACCGCGAGCACATCACCCAGAAGTGACGTGGCCGCGTTGGGTGCGCCGGGGGCGGGGCTGCACCCATCCAAGGGAAAAACATAGAGTTTTCCCTCGGATGACCGCAGCCCCGCCCCCGGCATGCCCGGCGTGGCTGCGTCACTTCCGGGTGACGTGCTGACGCCGGGCACGTCCCGTGCTTTGGAGGTGGGGTTCCCCCCGGGGCCCGATCCGCCGGCAGCGGGGAATGGGCCTCTGGGGCGGGGATTTCCCCGTCCCCCGGGGGGACTTGGCAAGCCTAGTTATATTATTTATTTTGTGTTTTAATGTGGTTTTAATTGTATTATATTTTATACTGTCGGAACCCACCCTGAGCCCATTAAGGGGAGGGCAGGATAGAAATCCAAATAAATAAATAGATAAATAAATAATATGTTCTGTTGATCTGATACACTCCCACTCACTTCTTCTCTTCAATACATATCTTGGAGGGACCCCATTGCTCACATCCTTCCACTGCAAGAACTGATCATTTATTCCTATGGGTGCAGCTAGTGTACTATGTCAGGGTTTTTGTTCCAGCAGTGGCATGAAAACATTTAAGCTCCCTCTCCAGAAAATAATTCTAGAACAGTAATCGCATTAGTGTATTACAACAAAAATAAACAAGGGTCTTATGGCACCTTAAAAACGAACAAGTTTTTATGCTAGCAAACTTTTGAAAAATGTTTTGTTGGCTTCCTCATTTTAAATGTCTGTGACTTCTCTCTGTTGTATAAATATATTGTTTTTATTTTATCTGTGGTATTGAATAGTGCTGTGAACCATCTAGGGGCCTTGGCACAAGGAGATGAGAGGGGAACAAATATTTCATTATTAAATAAAATACACCTTAGCTACTATCATAAAATAGGCTCCCAGGGGTATCAAAACATTCAGAAAGATCCCAAGACTACAAATGAGAGAGTTAAACCCCATATAGCATTGTTATTTAATTGTGTAATTCAATGTTATTGCACTGTTGCTTATCTGTATTATATTGTCTTTGTTGCACTGTTTTTAACCGTGTTATTTGCTTTCAGTCTATATGAAAGGGCGGACTCCAAACAAAGCAAGCAAAACAAATAAACAAGATCCAAGTCCCAGTGTTGGCATTGTAGGACCTGACGTTTTACCAGCAGCTGTGACTGCCATCCTCAGAGGTATAACACAGAAAGATGGAGTACTCTCTGTGTCAAGGTGAGAAGGAAAATGGTAGGCAGGTAATTTATATCTACTCAGGAAGGTGGGGGTGGGGCTGAGTCATTATCTTGTAGGAGTTTCCCAGGCTGTGACATGCTAATGGAGGAGCTTTCCTGAGGAGGTTCTTTTGCATATGGATTGGTTGTTGAAATTCTCATCTTCTCTCTAGTGCTGTTGTAAGATGTAGAGAATTTTGTGTTTTTCAGGATAGGAAACCATGCCCTATTTATTTTTAAACTCTCTTCTTTCCAGTTGAAATTGTTTATGTTTATGAATTTCAATGGTTTCCCTGTGTAATCCATGGTAATTGGATGTGTTGTCCAGCATTTCAGTGTCTTGGAATAAGATCCTGTGTCCTGTTTGAGTTCGGCTGTGTTCAGCCACTGCTGATTTTTCAGGTTGGCCAAGTCTGCAGTGTCTTTCATGTTCTTTTATTCTGACCCTGGATTTAGGAAGTGAATTCCCGTTGTGGCTTAAAAAGACGCAGAAAGGTCCCTTTTAGAACTACAGTATTTTAAAAGTGCTGTCTCTTAAAGAGAAAATGTCGATTAAAAGTATGAATAAGGTTGTCTGTGGCAGACAAAATCAAGGATATTTCATTGCTGTGCTAACTGACAAAGATACCTGACCATGCTTGTATTCTGAATCACTGGAGAATGAAGTCCGTCTGGACATTCAAGGGTGATTTTTTTTGCCAACCTAACTTTGTATGTTTTTGTTAAGGGTAAAACATATTGTAGCAGAATGAAAGCAACTGAAAAGCTGAGGTAAGTGCTTTTTTTCATTCAAATGAAGAGTAGATAGGAAATGTGTCCACATACACCAGTGCTAGACCTAAGTGATAGCAAACAATGGCAAAGTTCTGAGGAAATGCGAAATTAATTCTATAAGTCTAAAGAGGTATTACAGTTGTTTCTCTCAAACAGCACCTGCCGCCTCCCCGTACCACATCACAAACTGGTTTCCAATGAGAATTTACCCGTTTCTGATAGGATTTAGGGGATAAATTGTTCAAAGAGTGTAATAATTTTCCCTGAAGGTACAAGTCCCCCGTATGATAATAGACGTGTTATGAAGTCTATTGGCAGACATATTCCCATGTTTGAAACTTTGTTCTCAGACATGTAGAGGCCCAATTCAGATCGGCACCATGAGAAGAAGGTACTTAAGTCTTCCTTCTTCTCAGGGTTTTTCTGAGAAGTCAGTATTTGCCCCACTGGGGATACCTACATGTACTGATGACCTACATGTAAGTTTCCCCAATAGCAGCTCTCTGTGGCCATTTCACATCAGGAAAATGGTGCAGTGCCTGACCCCCCTCTCCCTTGTATCATAGTCCCAATGTGATCAAACCTCCACACACCTGAGAACTCCCATCTGTTGACATAACCCAGAACAAACAGAAGGGCTTTAGTGTGTGAGCACCAAAGTTAGTCCTTTGGAAGCCAGTCAGAATCCCCCCCACACATACCTTTTTTTAAATTAAAAGGTAGTAAGCATTTCTAGGGAGCTGCGGTGGCTCAAGTGGTTAAGATGCTGAACTGCAGGCTGTGGTTAATGTCAGTAGTTCAGCAGTTCAAGACCCGAGTTGCCGCATGACGGAGTGAGCGCCCGTCTCTAGTTCCAGCTCCTGCCAACCTAGCAGTTCGAAAGCAAGAAATTGCAAGTAGATAAACAGGTACCACTTCGGTGGGAAGGTAACAGCATTCCGTGCACCTTGGTGTTTAGTCATGCCGGCCACATGACCACGGAAACGTCTTCGGACAGCGCTGGCTCTTCGGCTTTGAAACGGAGATGAGCACCGCAATCCTAGAGTTGGATTCGACTGGCTTTCGAGCAAGGGAACCTTTACCTTTACCTTAGCATTTCTACATATAGAGTGATGTGTGCTTCCAGTTCTAACTAGATTAGTCTCTGCTTCAGTGGTTGAAACTGAAATTAACACTCATTTGATCAAGAAGTATCCATGCTTAAAACTCACTTGTTTTCTTCAAGTGCAAATAATTATGATTACTAGTTATTTTATGGAACTTCCTGCTAATTTTTCATCAGTTACATTTTATCTTATCAGAATGATGTTACTTCCTCCTCTTGAAGACAAGCTTAAGAAAAAGTCCAATAGTAATAGTTCAGGTATTCTGAACTCTTGTTCTACTGCTACAAAGCATATTTGACCCCCAGTCTGTTAATCTCCAAACGAGGAGCCCTATGCAGTAAGACAATCAGACTCCCATTAGTATACTTGATAGCTTTCTTCTAACCAGAGATACATATTCCTTCATCCTGGATAACTATTGCATATCCTTTGGATACTTCAAAGCCCAAGAAACTAGAGTACAGTTACAAAGCAATAATATAAAAACAGCAGATATAAAAAATGAAAGAGCCAGCAGAAAACATATCACATAATGGTAACCTCTGAGAATGTTAGTGTTGTAAACCAAAATTGTGGTTTTGATCATTCTCATGTGTATGCCTGACCAACTGACATGGTACACTGAGGGGAAAGCTATGAGTGAAAAATAAAAACTGGGGGAAAAGGTTTAGGATCAGGAATGCAAAAGGAATGCCCCTAAAATACATCCAAACAGAAAAAGAATCCTCAGAAGTGAAACTAGAGCACAATATCAATGTAAAAATATTTCTACTCTTGAATTTAGGAATGCAGATTTAGATGCAAGCTGGTCAAACCAAAGCACTGAGCTTTCTTTAGTGAACACCACTCCTGATACTATAATGGATTTGGAACAATCAGAAAGCAGCATTCGTACAACTGTAGACTTGAAGGTGGTGGGAAATGTTAGTGTCCCTGAAGCTGAAAGCAACACCGGTGAAATGGCTCCGATCATTCATACTACAGTATTAGATTATGGACCACCTCAGATTCCCCAAGCTTCTAGATACTGTGCACCAAGAAAGAACAGCCCCCCTCACGTGCCATCTAATCTGGGCCACGGCTTTAATATATTTGCTCACAAAGAGAGTGATGGATATGAAGCCAAGAGCAGAAGAACCCAATCTGTTTTAAAAGCTAAAATATGTACCAAAATGCCTCAAGACTTCAGAAGTTTCAGAAGAGACAACCTCAGCAGGCAAAATGCCATTTTAATCAAAGCAGTCAGAAACCCCCAAGTGCTTCCCTGTATTTCCAAAAGCTTTGTTGGCTTAGAAAAAAACATCACTCCTCCATCTGTTAGACAAGCACAGTCTACCATGGACTTCATGGATCTAAAATACAGTGACATGTTTAAGGAAATACACTCCAGTGATAAAGGCCCTGGTATTTATGAAATGTTTGGGACTCCAGTATACTCTCGTGAGCCGACAGGACATGAGAACTGGTGTTGCAGGAATGTGCATTCTGCTCCAGCTAGGAGACTCAGCATTAAAAAGCATAAATCTAATCATCTCAGCAAGAAAATCAGCAGAGCAAGAAATACCCAGAGGAAAACACATCCCAAACCACACACAAATCCTCGTGGCATTAAATGGAAGCATAAGGATTTGATGTCAAGAGAGGCCTTTGAGTTGGGGGATAGTAGCCAAGAACAGAGTGAAGGCATAATCGCTTCTAACTCAGATGGGCAAACAAACATTTCAAGGAATTCTTCACCATTTTATGACAGTGATGCTCAGCAGCTTCCAGTTTCCACAAAGTTCACACAATCTGCTAAACCAGATGAAGTCATTCCTAATACATGCTTAGCAGCTGTCGAAGACGTCTCACTAGAACACTCTCCAGGTGTTGGCGATAACGGTATTCATGAAGTATTTGTCACCAGCATCCGGGAATTACTTTGGCCACAAGTTAAAGATCATGCAAAGTATGCTCCTTTTTTAAGCAGTGCAAGAGAAACAAATGAAAACACAAGTCTAAATAACAGCAAATTCGTAAATCACGGGAGAACTGAAGCCCTCGGTTGCCTTGTGGACCAGGAAGCGATTCAGGATTTGTGTAGTGGTGATAATCAAGCCTCTACATTTTCTTCGCCGGAGAGAGTAGTAAGCTCACCTGAACAAAATCTCCAGCAGGGAAATGTTAACTTAACAGATGCATCAACGAAGTGGATTTACCATTCTACAAGCCCATTTCCCCAGACATATCAAAATATCCTGAGCTGTACAAACAATGAACAAATAACGGAGGACTTATTTTGTTGCTTAGCGGCTGAATTGCTCTCTCTTGATGGTGCAGATGCCAGTGGTTCTAGAGTAGTTATGAAGAATGAAAATGGTGAAGCACAAAAGGGACGCACTGGGAATAAAGAAGACACTGCAACAAATGATGTAAATAGTAAGGTGAGCATTCATTAATCCTTCATTCATTAATTCAGGATGGTTCAGGGTGTGTTAGACTTGAGTCTCTCTGGGTCCTGTCTCAAGCATAAACTTACTTTGGGCAGCTCACCTTGTCACAGGCTCAGGTGCTCATTTGCTGTTTGTTTTTATTCTTTATTACTGAGAAAAACACAAAATATTGCAGAAAATACACAACAATCATGTGAATCTTAATTAAAAGTTCCATGTACGTCATGTCAACTCATAACAACTCAACCACATGGTTAAATAATGTCCTAGAACACTATCCAGAAATTAATAAAACCTATTTCTGTTTGTTATAGTATATTTTTATTGTATTCCACATCACCTGTTCATAACACAAATATCATACAGTTTTGGAATGGTATACAAACTATTCCTTCCATATTTACTCTACAGCACTGCCAGTATCTACTTAATATAAAGTAAGTGCCTACTTAATATAAATAAAATTATTTTCTTATTCACTGCCGGTGATTGCTTGTTAAACAATTACTGTCATCCCCTCAAACTCCTATACAATACATAATTTAATAAACAAGAAACAAACAAATAACAAAACCTATTAAGAAACATGTCTGTATATAACCAGAGTTCTCAACTAGACATTAAGTCTTTCAATACCATTTTGAAATTGGTGTTGAGAGCTTTCTTCTAAAGGAAGCAGTGATCACTTTAGAAGCAGATAAACTGATAGGAAAACAAAAGGAGGGAATAATGGACAGTCTTGCTGCTTCCCTCTATAATGAAAAGTGTTCTGAAACATCACTTGTGAAGCTTGCAAGTGGTATATTAATCCTTCCCTGAAATGTCCTCCAAGATTAAAAAGTTAGCCTAGGTGGCTAATCAGTATGGCTGTCCAACATAGTCAAAAGCATTTTCTGCATTCATAACATGATTGCATAATATTGCTTTGAATTATTGTTAGGGATTACTAGGAAAGGGATTGAGAATAAAATGGTGATATTGTAATGCTCTTGCATGTATCTAATGGTATGGTCTCATCTGAAATACTGTGTACAGTTCTGGTCACTGTATTTCCAAAAGGACATTGCAAAGCTGGAAAAAGTACAGAGGGCGGCAACCAAGATGATCAGGGATTTGGAGCACCTCTCCTATAAGGAAAGGCTGAAGATTAGTTGCTATAGATTTTCCGGGTTGTGTGGCCGTGGTCTTGGCATTGTAGAACCTGATGTTTCGCCAGTAACTATGACTGGCATCCTCAGAGGTATAACACAGAAAGATGGAGTACTCTCTGTGTCAAGGTGAGACGAAAATGGTAGGCAGGTAATTTATATCTACTCCAGAAGGTGGGGTAGATATAAATTACCTGCCTACCATTTTCGTCTCACCTTGACACAGAGAGTACTCCATCTTTCTGTGTTATACCTCTGAGGATGCCAGTCACAGTTACTGGCGAAACATCAGGTTCTACAATGCCAAGACCACGGCCACACAACCCGGAAAATCTACAGCAACTAATGAACTCTGGCCGTGAAAGCCTTCGACAACATAAAGGCTGAAGAGTCTGTGACTTTTCAGTTTAGAAAAGAGACCACTAAGTGGGGACATAATAGAGATTATCCACGGGGTGGAGAGAGTTGACAAAGAGACATTTTTCCCCTCTCTCAAAATACTAGAATTTGAGGGCATCCAATGAAACTCATGAGCAGTAGGTTCAGAACACACAAAAGGAAATATTACTTTACACAGAGAGTGATTGAAATGTGGAATTCACTGCCAGAGGATGTAGTCATAGCAACAGGAATAAACAGCTTTCAAAGGGATTAGACAGATTCATGGAGAATAAGTCTATCAATGGCTACTAGCCATGATGACAGAGAGGAACCTCCACATTCAAAGGCACTAATCCTCTGAATCCCAGAGCCAGAAGGCAACATCAGGGGAAGGCCTTGGCCTCTATGCCCTGTTGTTGGCCGTCCAGAAGAACTGGTTGGCCACTGTGTGAGACAGGATGCTGGGCTAGATGGACCCTTGGCCTGATTCAGCAGGGCTCTTTTTATGTCCTTTTGATCATGCATATGCTTGATTGATAATTCAAATCAGGATTGTTTATAATGCATTTTACTTGGTTCTGTTCTTTATGAAGCAAGTTTAGTCTGATTTAACCTATATGTTAATTTTATTCAGTTTATTTGCAATCACTGTGGTCCAAATCCTTAATTCTTGATTAAATAATGAAATTGGTCTAAATGACTCAACCCTTGACAAATCTTTACCAGTTGTAGGAATAACGTTAGTGTTGGGTTTATCCCATGATTTAGGGAGTGTCTTCAAGTGGAACATCTCATAACAGTTAGCACCAATGGATTTATTATTAAATTCTTCCCAATCAACACTATTGTGTACATAATTCTATGCAAACTTTATATTGTATGTTCTCCATAATGTATACGTTTATCAAGGCAAGTCACAAAGGATTTTAGTTTTGTGTTATTTCACACTCAATCTATATTGTGTGCTTCTACCATCCCTTACAGAATTGCTGTCCAACTGTCCTGGAGTCCAACAGGGAAAACAGATTCTTCAGTGAAGTAATATTTTCAGAAAACAGCTTAACTAATGAAGATTCTGTCATGTGGACCAAAGGTGAAATCCTTGGAAAAGGCGCCTGTGGCACAGTAAGTTGCAGAGGGAGTACCTATTTGATTATCTATATTCCCATCTCCACAACTGCTTTCACAATATCCCTATTTCCTGCATTTCTCAGAACATTTTGGTATGTAGCAAGACACCTTGATTCAGAACACCATTTCCCAGTCTCTTAAAAGCAGGTATAAAGTTTCCATCATCCCTCATCCCTGTGGCTGACAGTGAAGGGGAACCCGAATGAGGTCTTAAATTTCTTGCTACAATGTAAATACTCATTTATGGCTGCAGTAACTAAAATACTTATCACTTAAGGAATGCATCTGCTTCCTCCCATTAATGGTGAATTATATCCTTTGGCTTTCATGCAAAAACAAGGAATTAAAGTAGTTGTAACTGGAGGCTCATTTTAATATTGCAGCTAACCAGCCTGGGAAGTCATGTTTTTACATACCTGAGCTATGTGCATGATTGCAGCCTCTTTACTTGTCCCCTTAGAAAACAATAGGGTCTGGGATTAGAAAAGAAGAGCAAGTTTTGGCACCATTTCCAATCATGTTTCCAAATTTAGCTCTGCATTTTTACCAGTGAAAGAGATAATGGACAAAAACTACGAGGGGTTCCATTTGGGTAGGCAGGAGACTATATGTACATATTAGCAAAGTATACAGAGATGTATTGCTCTTTCCCAGATCCCAAGGATGCTGCACAACCAATTTGTGTACAAACCCCGCATGACTATAGCCATTTTCAGGCATTACTGCTCTTGTGCTCCTATCCCACATGCAACCATCTCAGTATGTGCAGTTGCCATGTGTCTGATGAAAAGGGAAATGTGTATTCTGTAGCTTCAGTATGTGCTGCTTGAAAATCAATTTTTCAGGAGTATGCATTCACATGAACCAAAGCTGCAGAATATGCATATTGCCCTTTCCAGAAAATGGCAATCACAAGTGGCTCCCCACCACCACCACCACACAAACTGACATTTAAATATAGCTTAAAAGCTACATGCCCCTCCTATATCAGACAAAATTCTATTACAGGCATACATTAAGCTGGATATTAAGCATTCTATAGTATTAATATCAGTAATATTTAAAAAGTGAGTTCCATTTCAAACAGGAAGTTATGATTTGATTTATAGGTGTACTGTGGACTTACAAGCCAAGGGCAATTAATAGCAGTGAAACAAGTAGCACTGGGCACCTGTGATCAAGTTGAGACTGAAAAAGAATACCAGAAATTGCAAGAAGAAGTTGAGATTTTGAAAACCCTCAAACACATCAACATTGTGGGGTACCTGGGGACATGTTTAAAAGATAACGTTGTGAGCATCTTCATGGAATTTGTTCCTGGGGGCTCCATTTCAAGTATTATTCACCGTTTTGGGCCATTGCCTGAAATAGTCTTTTGTAAATATACAAGACAAATTCTGCATGGAGTTGCATACCTGCATGAAAACCATGTGGTGCACAGGGATATTAAAGGCAACAATATCATGCTTATGCCAAATGGTGTGATCAAGCTCATAGACTTTGGAGGCGCAAAACGTTTGGCATGTGTAAGTCTGACTGACGCACACAGTGAACCACTCAAGTCTGTCCATGGCACTCCTTACTGGATGGCACCGGAAGTAATAAACGAAACTGGCTATGGAAGAAAATCAGATATCTGGAGCATTGGCTGCACTGTATTTGAGATGGCCACAGGAAAACCACCACTGGCATCCATGGATAGAATAGCAGCCATGTTTTATATTGGGGCCCATAGAGGACTGATGCCTTCAGTACCCAGTCATTGCTCAAGAAAAGCAGCTGATTTTGTCCATGTGTGCTTAACTAGGTAAGTGTGTTTAAGACTGAGACATAACTTTAAGTATAATAAATTCTATGGGTTGTATCCAATCAGCTTCTCAGCTGGTGAAAAAGGGAGGAAGGACTCTCCTTTGACCACCAAAAAAGGTTATGGTGGGATTCACGGGACCTGCATGGACAAAAGCCACGTGGGACATCAGCTTAAATAAGGAGGGGAATTGGACAAAGCTTGAGCGAAAAAGCTGGTGGCCCAATAACTTTTACAATTTTTTTGTCTAAACTGAAGATCATGATGAAAAATTTGAATAATACAGTGTAAGTTATATAATTTTTAAAGTGACATCTTAAAGGTGACACTTGTCTAATCATCAGGGCATCAGTTAAATAAAACATACGGCATACCTGGATATAAATTTATGACACTTTCATCGTTCTATTAGCAAAAGAAGCAAATTTGTCACTAAGTAGTATATTACTAATAGTAAAACAAAACACCGTAATATTTTTTCATAATAAAATGGACCTCTCTCGATTTGGGACTTTCCCCCACCCCTGTTATTCAGGCTAATTTTTATGCAACCAAGGTCAGATTGATGTTTTGTCTATGGGAGCGATTGACTCAAAATGTCCCCATAGGTAGTTTATCTGCATTCATTAAGAAGAAGAGGAGATTGGATTTATACCTAGCTCTTCACTACCCAGAGTCTCAGAGCGGCTTACAGTCTCCTTCCCCTCCCCACAACAGACACCCTGTGAGGTAGCAGGTGGGGCTGAGAGAGCTCTGGCAGAAGCTGCTCTTTTTCAAGAACAGCTCTTATCAGAACTATGTCTTGCCCAAGGTCATCCAGCCAGGTGCAAGTGGAGGAGTGGGGAATCAAACCCGGTTCTCCCAGATTAGAGTCCGCGCACTCAACCACTACACCAAACTGGCTACTTGTTTTGGGACTGGAGAGGAATAACTGTTCTGACAGAATTAAGTGTAGGAGGATGAAAACAGTCTAGAGGACTGCTAAAGTCCATACTATTGCTGTGGTGAACTATTATTTTGGCAGACCTGAGGCAGGAGTCTGGTTTCACTGAGCTCTAGTTATGTAGCTGTAAACACAGTCATTAAAAAGAAACCCTGATTGTTCACTGGTCTCTTACCCAAAGGAAGCTGAACTTAATTTACCTTTGGACTTCTACTACTTGGGGAAAGTGGAGAAGGCTTAATAATGATCCAGATTCTCCTTTTTTTAAAAAAGGTAACTCTAGTTGGGAAAGAGAATCATTTGCTAAACACTGCCTTTTAGCCAGACCATGGCCTTGTTATTTCAGCACAGTTAACTAGCTTATAAATTGTAAATGTTATCAGGTATGCAAATGCATCATTCAGATTCTGAATGTTGTGACTGATGTTTTAAAGCACAAGGCTGACATAGTTATAACTGGACATTGTAGAATTATTCAGTTTGATTGCTACTTGATTGGCACTGCACTCAGTGATGAAATGTTATGATGAAGAGATCTCCAAAAAAAATGTTTTAAAATAAATTTAAGAATTAATTATCTTATGGGCATCAAAAAGAAAGCTTTTCAAAGATCTGTTGCACAGAAATATTCAATGGGACCATGATAAGTATGCATTTTAAGGTTATATCACATTGTATGCATAAGCTGTAATAAAGTATAGTGGTGAGTTGAAGTGTTACAAACTCGATAGGGAAAAAATATTGTGTGATTTATCGATCATCCAACCACATATGTATCAAATGCTGAGTTTTCCGTGTTCTCAAAAGCTTCGTCTGGCACCTGGAAAGATCTTTCTGGCAGCCCAGGAGCGGGCACAAATGGCGGTGGCAGCAAGCCCCGCCTCCAGCTCCCAGCAGGCTTGCAGAGGAAGCAAAAAGAGGTTTAAAGTTTAAACTCCTTCTCTCTAGAGTCGGGCCACTGCCATTGTATTCTATGGCCACATAGAATACAATGTAAAGATTGCGCCGCTGCTGTGGTGCAACTCCAGAGAGAAGGGGTTTAAACTTTAACCCCCTTCTCTCTTCACTCCCCCCCACCCTGCCTTGGCAGGCTGGCTGGGGAAGCAAAAAAGGGGGGGGGAGGCATCTTCAAAAGCCTCCCCTTCCCTTCTCCAGCTGGCCTGCCAAGGCGGGCTGGGGGGGAAGCGAAGAGAGAAGGGGTTTAAAGTTTAAACCCCTTCTCTCTGGAGTCGCACCGCAGTACAATCTTTCCATTGTATTCTATGGGGCCACAGAATTGAGCCTTCTCTGAAGAGATACTTTGCTATTAGCCTATTATTCATGTCAAAGTAAATATGTATTATATAGACAATTACATAGCAATACAGGCAAAACCTGTAACACTAAGCAGCCCTGAGTTCATTTACCATCTAGCTTGTTAAATCACTTGCCCACAAATCTTCTCTAACATATTTCTTCTTCTTGGTTTTAATTATACTCAACACAGGGACCAGCATGAGAGGCCTACTGCCCTACAGCTGCTACAGCATCCGTTTGTTACAGGAAACCCATGAAATTTGCAAAGCTTCATATCAAACTGATGTCGAGATTTTCTGTTCATCAAAGGTTAAATGACTTTAATCAAACCAACATTTCCTCTCAGCTTCAGAATAAGTTGGACAAAACTATGATAAATATCAACACTGCAGAACTAGATATAATTCAATTCTTTGTTATTAATTCTTATCATGATGAGATGTATATATCCCTTGCAGATCCTAGCCCGCTTTTATCTTCTCCATTCCCACTGATGCAGCAGCAACTATAGCAACCCCAAATATGGGAACCAGTTGTTTTGGCAATATGTACCAATGGGAGCTATAGTCCACTTGAAAATCCTCAGAAACTGTGTTACAGGGAAGTCATCATGCACTAAGGCAAAAGTAGTTATCTCAGTTTGATTTTTTATATTAAAAATCCATTGAAGTATGATAACCTTGATCTACTGAATATGAATGATCATTTTGGAAATCTTTACCAATTAGTACTTTCAACACTGCAGTCATAAGATGGAAGAGAACAATTTGGTTTGAAGTTTTTGATTTTTTTTTCTTTCTATAAGCTTGGCAGTGGAAAGTGCTGTCAAGTCACAGCTGATTTATGGTGACCCCATAGGGTTTTCAAGGCTAGAGACATTCAGAGGTAAAGCCTTTGTCTGCCTCCACGTGATGACCCTGGTACTCCTTAAAGGTCTCCCATCCAAATACTAGCTGGGGGCAGAGGTGGGGCGTTGACCAATAATAGAGGACACCTAGAATCGGAGCTCCCACACCAGACCTCCAAAACAACTGCTAATTAAGCGGAAAGCCAGCCACTGGTTCAAGAGAGGAATGGAAAAAGCAGGAGGAGGTAAGACCACCACCCCTGCTGGGAGAAAGTCGAAATGAGATGGGCCCTGAGCCAGGGAAGGCGCCTAAAATGGCAGCCAGGTAAAATGTAACAGCAGAGGAGAATACACAGAGAATTTATGGACAAATTAGAAGGTTACAGCAAAGCTCTCAAATTTAATGGATCCTATAGCTTCACATCTCAAAGAAATAAAAAAGTCACTACATTCAGCAACCCAAACTGCAAGACACAGCAGTGGAGCTGGGACTAACACTCCAAGACAAAATAAGATAACTGCAAATTAATGAAGCAAGGATTAAAGAAAACTGGCAGATCTGGAAAACAGATCTAGATGGAACAATTTACGATTTCAAGGCTTTGAGGAATCTGTGGAAGCCACATGGCTGGCAAGTGTGTTGGAGCCGGAAGAGGACATAGGCCCTCTAACTGAAAGGGCACATAGACTGGGCCCCTTGTTCAATACTCACCTCAAGTTCCCAAGAGACACCATCGTACAATTTCTAAACTACTGAACTAAAGAAAAGATCCTACAAGAGTGTAGAACCAGAGGAACCTTGCTATACAAGGCTATGAAAATCTATGTATATCAGGACTTGCCTGCAGAGACTTTGCAAAACTGAAGTAAACTAAAACCAATCACAGAAAAATTAATGAAAGGTAACATTCATTAACTCCTGGTCAACCATAAAGGCACTTTCCTTCAAGTGATGGATTTGGAAAGTGGAAAAATGCTGCTGAAATCCTTGAATTTAAAAAAGCATAGACGTGAAGGAGAGGCCACAGGGTGAAAAATCTAAGAGGCCACCTACACTGTGCAAATGGAGCAAAATCCCTATCAAATATTTACCTTAATGATCTAAATACGATCAAGAATATATATTATAACTGATGACTAGCTTGCAATTCTTCTAAGCTGAACAGAACCTAATGATTGGATACAAATAGAGCAAACACATAAAATCACAGAATTGGAAGGGGCCATACAGGTCCACCTACTAGTCCAACCTCCTGCTCAATGCAGGATCAGCCTACAGCATCCCTGACAAGTGTTTATAGAATCATAGATTATGCTGAATCTAAAATGATATTTCGGACAAACAAGGGGAAAGGCCACCCCAAATAAAATTTAATAATTATTTAAAGACAACTTTGCAAATTTGGGACAAAGTTGGTTTGCCCCAGAAAAAGAAAAAGGCTCTTTTGAAATATGGAGAGCCCTTAACAAGGTTAATTGACATCACTAAAAAGGGACACATAACTGAAAAATCCAAATTAGAGAAAGCCTGACATCAAAATCCCCTGCTTCCAATACCTACGGCTTCAACACCTGATGAAGAAAACAGTGATTAAAAAAGGTTTAGATACAACACTCACTGAATTGGAACAACTAATAAAGGAAGCCATAGGTAGCTGTAAAGGTCTAGAATATATACAATTTTGATTCAGATAAAGGACAAAAAGCCTATACCCTATCAAAAGAAATGGCAAAGGGATTGTGAAATCAATTTCACAAACCCACAATGGGGAAAAATTTAGAACTAAAAACCCTTTTAACAAAAGCAGTTAATATTAAAACACAGTCTTTAAAATACTAACAAGGTGGTACATGGCATCTTTAAAGCTACATTATATTGATCCTAAAAATCATTCTTCATGCTGGAAGAACTGTGGCAAAGTAGGCTCATACATACACTGTTCATGGAAATGCTCCACTAGATTTGGTTTCAGATCAAATGTATTAAGGCTATATGGTCCCAATGCATCCTGAAGTAATCCTTTTAAATTTATGGGAAGATTCGGAGATCCCATGTATAAGAAAAGACTTGTTCTCAACTTTTCTTACAGCTGTCAAAGCTTTGATCATGACTAAATGGAAAACTAAAGAAATACCAATGCTTTTGCAGTGGTATAAGAGACTTTGGGATTTATAATGGGAAAAAATTCGGACCAGTTGATGACTATGGAAAACCCACTTTATCAATCAAACCTTTTAGAACGTTGGCTTCCCTTTCTGGACTATGCAAATGCTAAAAATGACACAGACACAGCAATTCCAACCAACTAGTTTTGTATCTTTATTTTGGTTATATACACGTTCATTTGCATATTATGTTGACATCTGATTGAACTTTCAGCATGGTTGGGGTGACTGGGATAGGCATATGGTGGGTCTATTTTTCTGTATCACTTCGCTTGTTGGATTGTTAATTATGACATTAGCACATGCTCCTCTTGTTTAGCGTTCTGTAGTTGTATATTCATCAACATGTTGTAGATTTGTTGTCTGCTTGGAAAGTTAAAATTTTAAAAAAGGAAAAATACTAGCCAAGGCCAATCCTGCTTAGCTTCTGAGATCTGATGAGCTCAAACTAGCCTGGCCCATCCATTCTCCTTTGGGTTTATCAATATAAGCACAGACCACTCTTTGTACTTTTTCTTACCTTTAAATCAGGGATTCTCAATATGTGTGACAAAGGCACCTACATTTTATCAGAATGAAATAGCTAGGACATTTTTGTTTTTGAAACTATTGACTATGTTGAAACTAGAAGAGCTGTATCTAGTAATTGTAGAACAGAAATATTCCTGATAATGAAAATACCAATGAACTCATTAACTCTTCTGATATACAAAAGAGACAGCTATGGGATTTGGCAGGGAGTAATAATCCTGTATCAGCATCCAGAACAGAATTTTCAAAACTTTTAGACCAGAAAATAAATTCCACAGTCCTTGAACTAGTGCAGAGCCTTCCACACATCAGTACCATATCTATATATCTAATAGCTAAGGTGCCCCCCCCCGCGTGTGGATATCTAAATCCACACATCGGGGGCACCTGGGGGGCAGGGAGATTTTCCTGCACATTTGGGGAAATCTCCATATGTGCAGAAAAATCTAAAAACTGTAAAAAAAAAAACTATAGGGGCGATACTTAAATCCACCCAAAAGTAAAAGAGCGTTCCCTGCGAATGCGCAGAGAACACTCTGAGAACTGCCTCACCACCATTGGGGGGGGGGGCGGGAGAAGGCTTGGCGGGCCAGCTGCTCAGGCCTTGCCGCTGCAGGGGAGGAGGGAAAAAGCTTGGCAGGCCCAACGGCTGGGAGCCACGCGGGCCTCGCCACTGGTGCGGGGTGGGTGGGCGTCTTGTAATAAATAAATCAGAGTAGCGAAAAACAGCCAAATAATATTGAAGGAGATATATTTAAAACCAAGAGCTCCAGATGTATACACCTTAGAAAGGAAGCCAAAGGAAAACAGTTCTCAAGCTAGAATATAGGTAGGCACCATACAAGCCTCAAAGGGAAGGGCATTCCATAGGTGAGATGTCACCATTGAAGTACTTTCTCTGGCCACTAGTGTTCTCATCTCCACAGGAGAGGCCACAAATAGGTCACCTTGGGAGGAGGATCTTAACTGGCAGGCTGGACAGTACAGGAGACCATCCTTCAAGTTCTTTAGCCCCTAGCCACTTGGGACCTTGAGGGATAAGAATCAGAATTTCTGTGTTGTCTAGAAACAGACAGGCTGTCAGTGCAGTTCTCCCCACCCATCCCCGCATTGTAGCCTGGCTGCTGCATTGTGGACCAACAGAAATTTCAAACAATTTTCAAAGATGGCCCGTATAAAGCCCATTACAGTAATCTAACCTGGATGTGATCAAAGTATGGATCACTGTGGTCAGATTACTCTTTTCAAGAAATGGCATGTCAGCTGCTGCTCACAAGCCACATAGCAAAGAGGGGTTAGCATAGAGTCACAAAAATGTGAACGTACGTTCAGACAAACACAGGGAATTAGCTTGCATGTTTGCACAAGGAGCAGGAAAACAGAGATGTTTTACCCAAAGGGATTTTTGTCAGTATGTTTAGCACAATGGAAACCAGATTTACAGGTTCAATAAGAAATATAGCCTTTATTGGAGGAATTTGGTACAATATTAGGGATGGGGAAACTTAAACAAATACTAAATCAAAATCATAAGACAAATAGCACTTTCCTATCCAAACAGAACATCACATCAACCAGAGCTACTGCAATTTGAAACAAGCTTTACTATTAAAAGTAGAGGTGTAAATGTGGGGGGAAAGGACACTGCAACAGAGGTGCAGTCTTCAAGGTGCAAGGCTGTAACTATCAGAGATGTAAAATGCTACCTGTGTA